TCAGACCTTCCCCAGCTGTGGTCACTGCTCTCTGTGGGCTCCTCCGCCGAGAATAAAACGCGTTTGAAGTGCTTCTCGGCATCCTAGCCTTGCGGTGTTTCCTTTTCGCTCGGGGCACTGCTCTGCGCCTCAGACCTGGGTTCCTGGGGTGGCTGGTCCGGGTGGTTGGGCAGTTCTGCCCTGCCAGCTCAGCTGCCTGCTCAGCAGGTGAGCTTGTCCTTAGGATTTCAGATCGCCTTGCTTGGGGTCCAGAGTTCTCAGCCAAACCGGGCGTTCAGTCAGAGACGGGAAACCATATGAAGCGGTAGGCATTACAGGGAGCAAAAGAAAGAGACCTTGGGCATAGCTGGAGGTTAGCATTAGAGAAGACTAAAATTCTAACTGCAGAATGCAGGAATTGGCTTCAAGTGCAAGCATTCTCACTGTGCATCTTTTTGAATTCCTGTATGAGGGGTGGTTTATTTTGAGAGGATGGGGGGCTGGTTTGGTGGGGTTTTTTTGTGCGTGTGGCCTACTTTAATCAGTCTTCTTTTCAAGTTCATATAAAATGTATAGCTTATTTCTGTAATACTATAGTAATGATCTCCAAGTGATTAGGTTTAGACAGCACAATAGAATGACATTTTATTTATTACCTTTACATTTACCTATAAAGTGTTATGTAGCATAATGAATGATCTTAATAGCAATTAATTATATATATTAATTATTTACTGGACTGTAAATAATAAAAAAGTATTTCTTACATTTTCATTGAAAGGCAAAAATTAGTGTTACGAATTTCACTGTCTTATTTTGATGCGAAGTTCTGAACTTCCTACAAAGCTTTATTTTTTCTGAAGTTGTGACATAAGTTTCAATTTTATCTCCTTATTTACACCAAATTTAATCAGTGAGGCAAGAAGAGAGATAAAATTTACATTTGGTGTACCCAGTAGTTTTATTCAGGAGGTTTGTAAAGCTGTTGTGAATCGAACAAATCATTATAAATTTGAGCAAACTTTATGCCAGTGAAGGAGAAAAGCAGCCTAGACGTGTGTGTTTGGACTACAGCTCCTAAGATGCTGCAGTAAACGTTAGGCTGGTGACCAGCAGTCCCCCTTCAAGTCTCATTCTGAATCAAAACATAGGAAAAATAGTAAAATCCAACAGTAAGGGATAACCAGTTGGGTGGGGCGTTGTAAGGGGAATTACGAGAATATCAGGAGGTGATTGGACTTACTGACTCTCAAAGGCAAGGAATTTAGTTTGACACACAGTTTGATTCTCTGTTTCTTTAATGAGCAAACTTCATAATTTTATCATGCAATTTAAAAAAAATGAAGCTTTTACATAAGTTATAACTACAAAATATAGATGCTCGCATTAGGAAGGTACATATAAATACTGCTGTTTCACTAACTGTATCTCATAAAGTCAGTGCGCCTTGATTTTATATTATGAAATCTTTTAATGTGTTATCATGATTTCCAGTATGTGGCACCAATACTCAAGGTAGAGTTGTTTGAGGAGGAGGAATTAATTGCAGATGGGAAAAGCAGTTCAGAAAATTTGGAATTACAGTGCCAGAGGATCTTCATTTAGCTCCTGCTTGTAATTTATTTTGTAGTAATTGTTCATTGTATTCAGATGATAATTGACACTGAGCCAGATCCTGCTCTCAGCACAAGAGCTGCTTAGGATTGATCTGCAAGGCAGGAACAAACATGGCATTCTGTTGCTTTATTTTTCTGCAGTATTTCTTCAACACAGAAGAATTCCTGGTGATGCCATCAGAAAATGTGTGCCTGGGTGAACAGGCTTGTGGCTGTGTGAGGCATGGAGAGAGGGCGTGCCTACGCTTGACTCATCTTTACTGCTTCAGTGGCTGATCGGGACTGATACTAGGAACTGCAAGGTAATGTGCACTGGAAATAATGCTGATATCTAGAAACCTCGGGATTTGACAAGCATAAGGCAATAAAGCCAAATCTGTGTAATCCTCAAGAAGCCTGTAGAACATCATCACTGTGGGTTGATAACATTTTACAGTAAGTTTGCTTTACAGCAGTGAGGATAACCCTACAAAGCTCAATCTACATGGGAAATAGACTTCAGGTATCTTTTTACCGCAGAGTCCAACCTTGCTTAGAGATGCAAATCTAGGATTATTTCAGTGAATTCCTGCACATTATCCTATGTTTGCATAAGAGCAGGTGAAATCTAGGGTTTGCCAACACTGTCCATAACATACCCAAATACTTTTTGGGTTTTTTTTAAGTGTTTTTGCTTAGTTTCCTCAGAAGCAAGGATTATAAAATCAAAGTAGATAGAATGAATGTATTTTATCTAGGTTCCCACATGGGTAAAAATGGCCACTACCTCAGCAGGATTTGCCGGTGTAGGTATAATGCGAACTATGTGCTTTTCATGGGAATATGTATGTGACATTGTGTATCATAACTCTAGAGTCAAGCACTAACATGAATTGTCCACAGGAATAAGTGGAAGAATAATTCTAAAAGTGAGGCATAAATCAAAACTCCAAATGATGATGCTTACTAGTGACCAAAAGTTAATTTCATCAGTGATAGTCTGGAGGATCTGAAGCTTCCTGATTATTGCTTTGAGGTTTTTAAAACTTCATTAAGATGTAATTGTTTCAAGCAGGTGCATTCTGGGCCCAGTCTTGTTTAACTTCTTCATCAACGACCTAGATGAAGAGTTAGAATGTACCCTCAGCAAGTGTGCTGATGACACCAAACTTGGAGGTGTGGTAGACACACCGGAAGGCTGTGCTGCCATTCAGCGTGACCTGGACAGGCTGGAAATTTGGGCAGAGAGGAACCTGATGAGGTTCAACAAGGGCAAGTGCAGGGTCCTGCACCTGGGGAGGAACAACCCCATGCATCAGTACAGGCTTGGGGTGGACCTGCTGGAGAGCAGCTCTGCGGAGAGGGACCTGGGTGTCCTGGTGGACGACAGGTTGACCATGAGCCAGTAGTGTGCCCTGGCTGCCAAGAAAGTCAATGGGATCCTGGGGTGCATCAAGAAGAGTGTGGCCAGCAGGACAAGGGAGGTTCTCCTTCCCCTCTACACTGCCCTGGTGAGGCCTCATCTGGAGTACTGTGTCCAGTTCTGGGCTCCCCAGTTCAAGAAGGATGAAGAGCTACTGGAGAGAGTCCAGCGGAGGGCTACAAGGATGGTGAGGGGACTGGAACATCTCCACTACGAGGAGAGGCTGAGGGAGCTGGGCTTGTTCAGCCTGAAGAAGAGAAGGCTGCAAGGGGACCTTATAAATGCCTACAAATATCTGAAGGGTGGGTGTCAGGAGGATGGGGCCAAGCTCTTTTCAGTGGTGCCCAGTGACAGGACAAGGGGCAATGGGCACAAACTGAAGCACAGGAAGTTCCGTCTGAACATGAGGAGGAACTTCTTCCCTCTGAGGGTGACAGAGCACTGGAACAGGCTGCCCAGGGAGGTTGTGGAGTCTCCTTCTCTGGAGATATTCAAGACCCGCCTGGACAAGATCCTGTGCAGCCTACTGTAGGTGACCCTGCTTCGGCAGGGGGTTTGGACTAGATGACCCACAGAGGTCCCTTCCAACCCCTACCATTCTGTGATTCTGTGATTCACCTTTCTGGTAATACAAAGCAACATAGGAATTGATGTATATGTCAAGCCAAAACTGAACAGAATGATTTTTTGTTTCTCAACAAGCTGCATTTCCCAATTAGGTGGCTGATGGCCTGTTGTTTTTGAACAGTGCTATACAACTGCCAGTCAGTCTCCCAGACTGCAATACCAGCTCTTAGATGTGGCAGCAGACTGGCTGTGACAATGGGTTATTCATAAAGTCTGTGTTCCTCCTTGTTTCTTGATTGAAAAATGTATGTTAAAGGTTTTATTTTTCTTATTTTCAGATGAGGTCTTAAACATTTATGTGCACTAAAAAAGCATCTGTAGATGAAAAAGCAAAACAATCATTAATACTCATTCACTCAAGAACTTTGTATGACCTCTCAACTTGCCACTTTCTTTAGTAAACTACTTGGGTATTTTGTCAATTTTTATACTTCCCTTCCCTACAATGATGTTGTGAGAATAAACATACTGTCATCCTCCTTCTGCAGAGAGGGAGCTAGAACACAAACTAAATGCTAAACCTCACTGAAGAGCCTCAACATTGCCATGCCTGACCTTTAGGTTCTTAGCTCAGACTGGAACCTAAGCGCTGAGTTATGTTTCATATAAAATGTACTAAAGACAGACACCTTAAAACTGCATTTGTGACAGAGTAACCACTGTACAGGATGTTTGGGCTTAGGGATTGAAAATGCTGAGGAGAGGAGATATGTCTGAAATGTGTCTGTAACTCCAGCAAGGCAGTCACAGGGACATGTCACAGAATCTTCTTTGGGAGCTGGTGTGTTTACTTGTCCTTTTGTAGAAGACCCATGACTCACTCTTATTTTAGAACGTGATTGAAGGAAGAGGTGATGGTGCTTGCTGTTAATATACAGTCAAATTTTCATCACCAATAGATGGCCTGACTAGTTTTTTGTGGGAGGGAAGGGAATGCATGCTGAGATTCCAGCTGACTCTGGCTGGAATAACAGCACCTAGGATACACTGGAGAATGGAGAAAAGCCCCACATAGTATTAGTGCTGCTTTATGGTTCTTAACCGTACGTGATTCCTGTGAAACCAAATTGGAGGACTCTGGACCACTTTCCTTGTTTTGCTCAGCTATGTTATGAATTCACAGAGCCAGATTAGGTGTGATGGTGGTACAGCAACATTTGCCTGGAACTGGTTCTGAGCTAATAGGTCTGCTGGGCTAAGCCAGCCCTGGCCAGAACTTAAGTGTGCATGTACTGCTCTTCTCAGATGAGTCCCTTGCATACATATGTCTCCGTTGGCTCAGATCTGGCAGCACTTGCTGTTTCAGGCTTAGTGCTTGGTCTGTAGTTACTCTGGATCCTTGCAGGGCTGATCAGCTTGGCAGCTGGGCCAAACCTGACCTTACTCAGTACCTCTCATCGGTAGAAATAAAGCTGCTTACAGTTGGGAAGCCAGCTTAGCCTGATAAACAGAAGATCT